AAACCACAGCTCATTTCCAGACATAAAACCCCGTCAGTTTGGGGCAAGTTCCTCAAATCTCTTTCTCCTGAGAGGCAGAAATTCTGTTCGAGTCTCTCTGCTCCAGCCACCCCACCTTGTAAAGCTCCTCCCTGGCCTGGGCAGCGCGACCTCGCGTATTCCAGAGGGTCTCCAAAGCGGGACCGCTCCGGTGCCGCGTTTGCCGCAAACACCGGGCGATGGGCAGAGCGCGGGTCACAGGAAGGGTTCCCCGGGCCAGGTAAAAACCAGAATTGGTCTGAAGTACTTCTCACTGCCAGGATACCAAAACACAAATGTGACGGAGCAGCGCTGTTGCCCGCTCAACAGGAAAAAAAAATGAAGCAGGGGAATGCGGAGAGCCCACCTGCAAAGGCACGGGGACACCTGAAGACAACGCCATTTCTAAAAGGCGCTTAACTCGGTGGCACGTGGCACGCAGGGCCCTGTGTGCACGGGGGGCTGTAGGTTCACGATGGGCGCCAGGCACCTAAATTCTTATAAGATCAGAGCACGGCGCCTCCCGACACCTTTGCCTGGTCCGATGTCATTGAAATCCGGGCTGAACGGCCTGCAAAGGGCCACGCAGCAGCAATGCGGCAGAAGCAGCACTCGGGTCCTGACTACCGGCTCTTTGTCCAACTTGTTCATCCATATTTGACAGTATTATTTTTAAAGGCAAGATTGAAAAAAGCACGTTTGCGATGTAAAGGCCTTTAAAGTATCACTGACTGTCAGCACGTTTGACAAACAGGTTCTGTGAGTTCTGGTGCATGTGTAAAGCTATCCCATAATTCTGGCTGCTGGTACAACAGACAGTTCACCTGCAGTATTTCTCTATTTGGGAGAGAGGAGCACTTGCAGGGAGAGAGGAGGAAAAAATAAAGCGTGCCTTCTTACGGCGGAGAGAGCCTCTGTGCCCCGGCTGGGGAGCGGCGTCGCAGTGCCTCAGCCCGGTCGCCTTGGTTTTGCCCCGCTCCGGCTGCCCCGTCCTCCACAGGCTTCACCGGAGCTTTCCTGAGGCAAAGCTGAGTAAAACGGGAGAAGAAACGCATCCTGCGGCTTGGAATTGGGAAACGCCCGGTGAAGCGGGAGGAGGGAGCCACCCTCAGTGAGGAAGGGGTTAAACACACCAGGCTGACTTACGGTGGCAGTGACATGCCGCCAGTCCCAGTGCCTCCAGTCGGTGACGTGCCGCCAGTCCCAGTGCCTCCAGCCGGGACTCCTGCAGGCGGTGCTCGCAGCTGGGGCTGTTCCTCAGCGGCACAAGGAACCCAGCCGAATTTTGACCCCGGCATCAGCGTTGACGAGAGGCGGACGCAGGGACAGATCCTGCCGCGGTCTGCTCGTGTGGAGCAGGTGGCGGCACGGACACAGAGCTCGTCATGGGGTGGAGGCAGAGCTCAGCTCGGCCTGGGCGGATCGTGTCCCTCAATGCCCGTTGGCTAATTGTTGCCAGGCGCAAGTAACGCTATTTTTTCAGTTAGTCAGACTCCTATTTCTTGCCCTGTTTATTTCGTCTAAGACTCCTAAGTCCTTCTGGGAGGTTGCTGAAGGGCGGGGAAGGCAGACACCAGCAACGCTGCTGTTATTTCTAGCATTTGAACTGATCCGGCTGCGGATTTTGTCCCAGCCACGGACAGCGAGAGGACGCGGCGGTGCCACGGGTCCCTCCGGAGCCCTCGCGGCAGCGCGGACGGGCGATGGGCTTTTCTGGAGCCGCGTCCAGATCCCGCCCCGCACTTGCAACGGGCTGCGTCAGCCTGCAGAGAGCTGCTCTGCTGACTAAGCTGGGCCAAGGTCCCCGGCCAGCTACAGCAGCCTCTTCCAGCCAGAGGAACGGAGCTAGGCCAGCGGATTCACGCTGAAGATCTGGCCTGCAATTGTTGAGGATGGTTACCAAATTAATTAAAGAGGAAGGGAATGGGCTAGCAATACCTTCTGCAGATGGTGGAGAAATGCCCTCTTTCCTTTTCTTCAATCTTTTATGCCAATTAGAAACCCATGCAATACCACGTCAGCATGTGAAAAGGACACCACCGCGGGCACAGCCATCCATCTGGTCTTTGCTCTGTCGCTAGAAAGAGCCCCCCATCTCCTTTCCACCGGTGCCTGAAAGGAGGGGAAGAGAATTCCACTGGATCGAAACTCGCAGTCACGAGGCGGAGGTGACTTGAGCCCTTTGCCCACAGGAACGCGCAACACGTACGGAGCTATGCCGTTCTGCGCCACAGCGAGCAGAACTACAGCGGAGCAAAATACTTCACAGCTAAATCAGTCGGCAGCTGACAGAAGGCAGCAGCTTGGTTAGAGGCTGCTTACTCAGCAGTTGTTGACGCCTGGGCTGCTTCAGAGCCAGGGTCTCGGTGTTCCCAGGAACCCCGGGCAATCCCTCGCGCAGGAGTCACAGTCGAACGTACACCCAAAACAACCTGTGGCAGGCTAAAGCTAAACCCAAGTCTGCGCACACCAAACGCTAGCACTAAACTCTAACCCCACGGCCGAGGGCGCGTTCCAGCTGCAGATACCAGGGCATTCACACGGGCTGAGGGCGTTAGCGCCCATCTCACCGATCGGGAATTTAGTTCGTCAAATCCAAGGAAGTACCTGAGGAAACGGGAGGAAGCAGAGCGGAGGGGACCCGCACGACTGCATCGAAGCGTTCCACGCTGCGAAACAGATGCGGGCAGAGTTTCATTTTCCTCTGTCTTTGGTCCTCTCCGATGCCCAGCCCAGCGCCGGGGCACCCCCAAACACAGCGTGCGGGTGCCCGAACAAAAGGCGAGATGCTGTTTGGCCCTGCAGAGCACTGCAGAACCACGCCAGGCACCGAGAGCCTCAGCGGCTTGGTCGATGACGCAAGGAACGAACAAGCGCAAATAAAGACGCAGAAACTGGGTGTTGTGTGTAGAAGTGAAGAGCAGAGCCCTCCACCCAGCGCGGGGGATACCAGAGCTCTTGCACAGCTCGGCTCACGTGCTGCCGTGTTTCTCTGTTTTAATGCGTCTCTGTCGTTGCAGGAGCTTCCTCCCCGGCGCTGGGAAGCCCGGGGAAGCGCTCGCTCCTTCGGCAGCGGCGGGAAGCGGCTCCCAGCGCTGCGAGCAGCGGCACCTGGAGCAGGGCTCCTCAGACGGGGCTGCTGTCAAACTCTGCAAAGCGCACGCTGCCCCAGCGCGAGCACTGCCGGCCGCAGCCGGCTGATGGCTCAGCAGCCAAATAGCCGCGCTTGGTACCGCGTATTGGAAGATGATCATTAGCTAAAGTTGATTGAAAGCTTCCAGTTTTGTAGGTGTGGAATACTTACTACAGTTAATGGGAGTTGCAAAAAAACTTCTCTTGGTGCTTTTATCTGATAAAAAGAGAAACCAGGTGCCCAGAGGAGGCGTTACCCTGGCGGGGAGTCCTTTCTTATCGGGGTAGAAACACGTGAGAAGGGCAGCGCCGGCAAATCCCGCGCCTCTGCCGCTTGCTCGCTCAGAGGACAGACACCGCGTTTGCCACACAGCGTCGGGCCCCAGCGCAGCTGAAGGACGCTGCCCGCGCAGGACGCCCGGCAAACCTCCACGGCGTGGGGGCGCGGGTGCCCGGCCGCCCTCGGCCGCACGCCCGCCGGGTACGTTTTACAGGCCGCTTGACTCGAGCGTTTCTGACTGGAGTCAGCACAAACCAGCTGCCGACCGTCCGGAGCGGATTCCGCTCCAGAGGAAGCTGCTTGCATTTGTCAGCGCGAGCCCTTTGCAAAACACAAGCGGGTTCATACTTTCACACGACCTTTGTTCGCTCTGAGGTGAATCGCCTTCATCACTCCTGTCTTAATCTTCAAAAGGAACTGGTGGGCTCCGGGCAAAGAGTCAAGAATGCTTTCACATATTTGGGAGCTCTGCTTTACGCAACCTCCGCAGCAACTCGCCTTTGCTGGAAGGGATGAACGATACCGAGTCAGTCAGCAAAACACTCACCCTGGGCAGGGGTGGCAGGGGGCGGCGACTGTGGCTGCTCTTACGCCGGCGTGAATCAGCCGGCGCTTCCCTGCACGCAGCGGAGTTACCGTGATTTAAAACCTGACGCAGTCAGGATCACCCAGAACCCGCACAGAAAAAGCACCTGGTTCTCTGCCTCCGTCCCGCGAACAGAAAGCGGGGGGAAGCGCTTTGCGCAGCGCAGGCAGGGGCGGCTCCAGCCAGAGCAGCTCTCACCCCGCAAAACTTAGGACGGGTTCGTAGCCAGCGCGAAACGGAGCACTGTAAAACCCAGCAAAAGTCATCGTGTTCTGCTGGGAACCTGAAGTTCCAACGCGAGACGATTTTTGCTCTCATAAATCAGGAGCCGTGCCGCTGGAATCGATGGAGTTAGACTGGTGTAACTGGGGATCGGACTGGCAGCCCTGTGTGTACACGGGTAGGAAGTTGGCCCCAAAACCAGACTTTCAGAGCAGCTGATCGAGGGATGGGTGGTCACCAAGAGCCCGTAACATTCTGTGCACAAAAAGCCCCATGGTTGCCTGCAGCCCTCCCAGACCCGTCCCGCAGGGCAGAGCAAGCTGCCTCCGCTCCCAGGGTGTCCTCAAGGCCCCGGCCTCCGCCAGGGCAAGGGCAGCTCCGCGGCGAGAGCAGCAGCGCCGCGCAGAAACCCGGAGCCGGCCATCGGGGCTCTCCCAGCTCCGTCCATCTGCTGTTTGTACCGATTCCCTGCGCTCGGGCCTCTGTTCTTACCGTAGCCGCTCGCTGTCCGCGTGGTCAGGCGGGATCGGTTCACCAGCCCTGTGCGTGGGGTCCTGCTGCAGAGCTCGCCCCGAGAGGCGCAGAGCCCCTGCGCCCGCCTGAGACGCGTCAGGGCGACGAGGGGATCCGTAGGTTTCGCGGCCATCGGCACTACGCGTTGGGGGATTCCTGGCGTGCCTGTTTTTAACTGGAGCTGAAATTCTGCTGGAGCAAGACTGTAGGCACGGCCTTGCAGAACGAACGCTGAATCAGAGAGATCCTGCTG